TTTAAAATTAAATTAAATTTTAAATTTTAATTTCATTTAAATTTTAACTACATTTAAATTTTAAAATTTTCAATTTCATTTCAAAATTTCCAAACCAATCTTATTCAAGAATTTCAGTTTCATTTAAAATATTTCAATTTCAGTTTAACAATTACTCAGATTTCATTTAAAATTTCCTATTTCATTTAAAAATTTCAATTTCTTTTAATTTATTATTCCCATTTCATTTTTAAAATTCTCCAATTTGCATTTTAAATTTCAATTCATTTAAATTTTCAACCATTTCATTTAAAAATTTCATTTCCATTTAACAAATTTCAATTTTCATTTACAAATTTCAATTTTCAGTTTAAATTTAAAAATAATTTAATGCGAAATTTTAAAATATTTCTATGATTAACCAATGATATAGTCCAGTCTGTTTAAGGAGTTTCCAGTCTGCTTAAGGAGGGTCAAAAAATTCTCTGGGTAATTTCCTTTTCAAACTGTTTACCTAGTATGAAATGAGTAGCTAGATGTATTCGAGAAATTTTGTTATAGATTTTTGCGGGTAGATGGGGAAATGTACAGTGATGGGTGTGATACAGTTCTTGGTGGAGTTGAGGGTTATGGATAAACCAGAGTTTAGTGATTATTCTTAGGAATTTATTTTGGAACGTTTGGATTTTGTGAATATTGGTTTTGGGTGCTGCGGTCCAGATTGGAGATGCATAACATAATAAAGGTCGTATCATTGTTTGGTAGAGATGAATGGATGTGTAATTGCTTTTACCGTTTGTGTTTTGAAGTGTAACGTTTGAGCATGGGTGATAGATAAGTTTTTTCAGAATATTGGTGAGTAGGCTTGGGTACGATTTTAGAAATGGAGATAGACGTTTCCGTTAGTGATTTCTTATATGTCGTATGTTATGGATAAAATTTTATAAAATGGGCGGTATGGGTGCGAGTCAAGAGTAGGATCTTGTTAGGGGGGACAGTTAAATCTAATGTATCTAATATGGTGTAATTATGTAATTACTGGCTTGGTCTATTTTTTGTGTGGTTTTGAGTGATGGTTGTGGTGGTCGCAGTTGTCTGACCAGAAGTTGATAAAATGGCCAGTGTATCTTTTGTAGATTATAAGGGTGAGTGGGACGAATTTCGCGGGGTGATGTTTCGAGAGAAAATATGATTGGGCGATGATATGATTGAAGGGCTGTGTGTGTTTCAACATGAATATTACAACTGACATTTCTTGAGACGCCGAAGTCAACAACGTGGGACTGCACTGTGGGACTATAAGGATAATAACTTGTTTTTTGTTTTTTTTTTGGTGCAAGAACTGTTAGATTTAGTCTTTGTATATGAGAACTGTAGCTCTCTTCCTTGTTTTGCCGCGATCCCTCAGCGGAGAGAGGCCCCTAAATCCCTTGACGTGACGTGGCCCTGGCATCGGAAGCGCGCTGCGCGGTCTGGGTTTAGGAGCTCGAGCCGCGGGGGAGGCGGCGGAGGTGGCGCGGCGCGCGGGGGAGTCCGCCAGCAAATCGATGGCCGGCCAGAAAGAGGCCAACGAGTACGTCACGACCGCACGACGTCCAGAATTTGATCAGTGCACGCGAATTCCTACGGTCTCCACGGCGATGTATTGTTCTAGGCTTCTCTTCCGAAAGGTGCTTTCATAACCAACTCTGAAGTCTGGTCTGTGCATGATATTTGTAAAGACTATGATTACATCTTTACTTTATGATAACACAACGAAAAATTAATGCGCGGTAAATATCTTTCCGTCGTTAAGGAAAAGTTAATTAGAGGGACTAGTCGTTTTACGTAACTTTCAGTATAGATGGAACACACATGATCGAAGGTGCCTATTTTACGAAAACCTTACTTTGTACGTATTTAAGAAAAGCCCATTAAACACACAGATTCGATTTGCTTTTCTTATATAGATAATTATGAATCTGACACTAAAATAGAAAATTCTCATGGATGTACGTCTAGGAAGAGAAATATGGTCCTCTTATTGGCGTCTCCAAATTCGCACACTGGTGGAAAATGCGTAATGTTTGGATTTTAGTTCAGATAAGTGTTCAAATGTCAATGATGGTGTGGGCATAAAAATTGAAATTGATGGTTTGAAAGGGATTTTGATGGTGGATGATTAGAAAGAATTCCTAATAAAGTGTTGTAAAGATTCTGATAATGAGGGAAGTCACGACTTCTAGTCATTTGGAGGCATGGCCGGATTAATGTCTCTTATGCTACTAGTGGGTGGTAGAAACTATGTATACGTATGTTGTAAACGAATTGACAAAAGTGTTTTAATTTAATTGAAAATGGTTATATTTTTCTATAATGCGTGAGACAATGTGATTCATTTTGTATGATAATTTTGTTGAAAAAATTTAAATCAAACAGTCCAAACCTATATAATCAATCCATTATCTCTATTGTATTTGAAACATATTTGTTTCATCCATTCTTGAAGCATATAAAATGCTACTTTATTACTTTCTGGTTACCGCTTACGCAGTAGAGAGTAAGCATTATACTGCTGCGCGAAAAAACTGCGAATTTTGACAGAAAAACTCTTATTGTCGTGCCCAGGTAAAGAAAAAAAAGGATAAATCCAGTTGCGAAATGAAACAAATCCACTAACACGTGGTGTATGCAGAATCCATGTTTTGTGTTTTCTTGATATCGAAAAATCGATTGACGGCAAAACGTCCGTCCGTCTGTCTGGTGTATGTGAACAACACTAGCGCTTAAACTATGCGTACGATGTTTTCCAAACTGAATAAACCCCTGTCGATCTGTAATGAGACAAGCTCTGCTATTTTAAAAAACATTAATTCTTGGGTCACTTTACATGATGCACCTGGAACATTTTCAAACTTTGGTCAAAAATGGCTTCAAATTTTTTCTTTAATTTTTTCTAAAAATGGATTAAAATACAATGGTATAAAGATGGCATAGGTTCAATTTCCCCTTACAACTCTGAATTTTTGAATTGTTTTCAGAATAGAGATTGTTCCTACAAACGAAATTTGTAGTTCATAATTAGTTCTTTCATTAAGGTCATGTACATTTTTTGAAAAGTTTAGTAATTTTCGCACAATACTGCGTGCAATATTTGCAATATTAAAAATAACAAAAACAATATTTTCTCAAAAACTGCTCCAAGTTGTTTCTTTAAACTTTTGGTGGGAATAATGCCTAATAACTCTATAAAATGACATAAACGCCATATTGCTCTATTCTTTTGTTTTTTCAAAAGTTACAAAAATGTAATTTGTTTGACGTGTCTCTCACGTCGTTAATACTTACATTAGCGATGGATTTTTTGACATTATTGCATTTTGAAATTTACGAGTATATCTACTTTAAAAGATGTCTCATAAATTTTCTCGAAAACTCAAAAGTTTTCCGTGAAAACAAGTTCAAACTTCCGAATTTAGAAACACTAAAACGCCATTTTCTCAAAAACCGCTGCAATTTTTTTCCAAACTTTTCGTACAGATAATGCTAATTGTACTGTTTAAGATGATCTAAAACTCATTTTGCTGTATTCTTTTGTTTTAAAAAACACAAAAGTAATTGCATTGAAATATATTTCATGCACTTAATATGTACATTTGTGAGTTGTATACATTATTTCATTTGTGAGTGGTAGTGCTTCAAATAACTTTAAATGAAATTTTTTGTAAACTCGAAAGATTCCTGTGAAAAGGAGCTTTAAATTCGTATTTACAGTAATGCTTAAATGCCATTTTCTTAAAATCGGCTCCAAATTTTTCAATAAAAATTGCCATTTATGACGAGGTTTTTCTCTTCTTTAATATTCTAAAAGTAATATTTTCAAACTACCATTAGGAAACAGAAAAATGAGAAAACTTTAAAATAAGTATTTTGGGCGGCGATAGATGACAGCTGGCAAAAGGATAAGGCAAAATCTGGCATATATCAAGGAAATAAGAATACTTTACTACGAGAAAGTCTGTGCCATTGTGTAGCACCACTAGTTATACTGTTTAATAAACACATACAACTTATGATTGGACGTAGCGTGATAGGCAGTCACTATAGTCCGAATTCCCTTTAATCGTATAAATAATAATTTATATCTAAGAGGAGAAATAGATTGACATATCAATGGAGAGTCAAATTAACTGAATCTAGAAACCCAAAATTTGGGGTATTTGCCTCTATTACAATGTCCACTAAGAAATGATTTTCCAAAATTCATCCATAAAGGGATAAAATACGGTTTCTCTGAGCAAGGTGTAAATATCCAATTACGATTTTGAGAAGCCTTTCTGAACTTGGTATTATGAGGCTCCTCGCCGTATTCTACTGTAGAATATCTCATCGATATTAGTGTGGCGAAATACCGCTGATAAATATTTACGTGAGGAAAATTTAAATTTGGGTACTTCGAAGGATGATCCCAAACTCCATCTCCTTCCTTGCGAAAGGAGAGTCTAAGCAGTGTGGTGCAAATGAAGCAGGTCTTGTTGAAAATAAACGTATGTGTTCAGCACTTTCATTCCCACACACTCGACCACTGTGCTTAAAATACAACCCTCTCTTCAACTTGAAAAGTCAGGCGTCACTAGCAGCACAGAGTCCGAATGAATGTTTACGTGGATGAAGTTAACATTAGCCAACACGAGGTTGCTAGGGTGGATGAAATATATTACTAGGAATAGCAGATAAGAGATAAACAGACATTAGACTGCACTCCTAACTTTAGTCTATTTCGGTCTTTCTCCGTTACATATGAAATAACGCGCGCCAGACGCAACGCGCGCCAGACGCAACGCGCGCCAGACGCAACGCGCGCCGGACGCAACGCGCGGCAGACGCAACGCGCGCCTGACGCAACGCGCGCCTGACGCAACGCGCGCCAGACGCAACGCGCGCCAGACGCAACGCGCGCCAGACGCAACGCTCGCGCCGGACGCAACGCTCGCGCCGGACGCAACGCTCGCGCCGGACGCAACGCTCGCGAGTGGGCTCACCTGGGCCGAAGGTGGGCTTGAACATGAAGGGTTGCATCCGGAAGGCGCGCAGCAGCAGCGTGGCTGAATCGGAGCCGTGGCCACTGCTGGTGCCCAGCTCCACCTTGTACTCCGACTGACAGTGGTAGGACTTCCCGACCGGCGTGGGGAACAGCGTGGTGCCGTGCGCCCGCCGCGACGACAGCGTCACGTCCTCTGCGCACACACGCGCGCGTGCCCACGCGCCGCGCCGTCACGCACAGCGACAAGCGACACGCGGAAGGGTAGTATGGAGTGTAAAATGAACAAAACGTCGTATAGTGAGATATGCAGTAAACTGAAGTACCCTATCATCAGTGAATGTATTGTATTAAGAATTCTCGTGAGTTTAGGTCACAAAAACAATTCTTTAAATCGCCAATGTTTCTGCTCGTTTTTAAGCTCGCTTTTTAGCATCGTGGTCGTGTAGCGGCCACTGTGATCGTTTTAAATGTAAAAGAAACTTTAGGAGTAACACGTAAGGGCAACACAAACACACACAAACATCTATTCTCGAGGCGGGATTCGAATTCGCGACCTTTCGAGCCGAGGCAACTACGGCCCACCAGACTTGGAGATCTAGGCTATTCAGGATTTCGGCTTTAATCAAACCTTCCTCAAGGTAATTACTGTACTTGAAACGCTTATTGCTTAACAAACAGCCTCTCTTCACGATCTTTCGTATAAACCATACAATTCACACACTCTCTAAATAATTAATTGCGGGCGCGACGTCTTAGTTGGCTCAGAGACAGCGTTGCCATTGTCTGTGCAATTACTCTGATTGAGATATCCTAAAATTCGAATTCTGAAGGTGACGGATTTTCAACAATAGCTACCTGCAGCTCTATCGAATTCATTCACTGGAGAAGAATTTCAGCGGTCGACTGGTCTGGCTGGTAGTTTTTCTTAGTTTACGCGATCAATACTAGTGCTGCTGATGCTAGATAAGTACCTTAATAATGGGCCATGCAGCGCGCAATCTTTCCTTTCTCATCTTCGTTCCTCCCCCCCCCGCACACACACACACACACACACACACACACACTTATAAGTTCTACACTATCGCCCATCTACACTTTCCCGCAATACTGTTGTAACTCACAAAAACTAAAAATCAATATTTAAAGGTTAATCGGTTTAAAAAATCATATTTGTGTGTAATAAGCCTTCCTCGCACATTATACCACTTGCGGTTGCCGCGCTGTTTCATGGAAATAAAATTACGCGCTGTTGCATGGAAGAATGTTGTCAAAATTTCAGAGTTATAAGTAAACCATTTTCATAAATTCAACAATCGAAAGACTCCACAATTTGTTGATGTAACTTAATTATCGTTGATTAATAAAACAACAGTATTCTGAAAAAATTACAGGTCGGGAGACCAGTCGGGAGCTTCAAGCTTGTTCAAGCTAGTGTGGCGTCACGCTTTGGCATGGTCCTGGAGGGGGAAGATCCAAAAGGTCGCTTGAAGTTGGCGACGTATCCCACGCTCCAGAGGGGGGGACGCCGACAACTCCCGGAATATACACTGAGGTGACAAAAGCCGTGGGATAGCAATATGCAAATATACACATGAAGTAGTATTGCGAACAAAGGTATAAAAGAGCAGTGCGTTGACAGATATTTCATTCTCAAAGTATACGTGTGAAAACATTGTGAATTGTCCCGAGTAAGGCTTAATAAAAGCCAAAACGTTGGAGAATTAAAGAACGGTTCCTTTTTGTGACCTAAAATTAAGAAATACAGGACCTAGCAGAATTTCGAAAGTGAAGTCGAGGAAAACAGCACTCAATTAAGAGAGCACTAGAGGTCTGTATTAGCCTTTTCTTGATAAATATTGAGTAAATACACACCATTTGTGGTTTAATTGAAATAAACGTAGATCTACATCACAAAGTGATGTAATAAAGTCTTGTAACCTCTGTTTGTGTGATGTGTGTAAACTTCAGTATGCAGTAATGTTATTGCACCTTGTACAGAATACGTTTTGTATACGTACCTACGCTACTGGCATTTTCGAAGAGTGTACTATCAGATTTGTCGTATTTCAGCTCTATCAAGTTGACGTACCACCTCTCGCCTCCAGGTGTCTGAAACAAAATTTTACCATTCAGTTTTAAGTTGGTTTTTGGTCCAAGAAATCACTTTGTCGATGCGGATGCCCAAATTAAAATCGGGAAATTGAAAATCATCAACTCAAAAGTATGGCTGATTGCTGGTTATTATATAGACTTGGGAAAATAAAACGTTTTCCCCCATGAATTGATTGATTCCTAAAACATATATAAATAAACGTTATGTATTATGATACCAATTATATATCAAGTTAGTCTAATTAATATTCTGGCCATTTACTTCCTAAATGTATAATCATGTAGTGGAAAATTCATCTTAATGATTGAGATCTTAAGTATTAAAAATACAATAGAAGAAAAAAGAAAGTCTAGAAATGTGCTAATGAAATCGGGCTGAAAGAGAAAACATCTTTACTGGTCTTCTTTTGCCAACATAAATCCAGAAAAATGGTAGAAACCACAAAGATGGCAAGGTCGCCACCAGTGGTCTGTTACCTAATTTTAATGGTCGGGAAAGAAACCTGACATTTTATAAATTTAATCATTTATTCAAAGACTTAAGAAAAATATGTTCTAACTTTATTATTGTATATAAAGTAGAACAAGAACATTATATTGGACATTGGACATTTATTTGTAACAAAATACTTCTTTGACTTGTAAAACATCTACCACAAAACTGGTGTGTTCCACTAGGATGTGCAGCTCTCGGATATTCCTCTCAGAAGAATAGCTTTCAGATTGTCTTACTAATATCTTACGAGTATCTGCGAGTATCTTGGATTACATACTACACCCACTGTTGTCAGATTGTTCCATAATTATGTAAACTTACCTTTATGATAGACTCTTTCTACACATCGTAGTATCATACATTTTCTATGATTTTTTTAAAGAAAGTTAATAAATTCTGTAATAAAAAATCATTTCAATTGTTATTAATATAATATAATTTACGATAATTGACGTAAATTTAATATTAATGTTGAAACAATAAAAATACAATAGATGTATGTTTGCTTTTAACAGTTCGTACTGGTGTGTGAAATTTTAAATCGAGAATTTAGTGGTCCGCGATTACCACAAGATAGCCGATGGCTGTTGTAGGACATTATTGGGGCGACATGTTGATTTCAAAATTCCACGAACAGAAAGAGTGGAAGCAGGCGCTGATCAGCCTTTTAGCTCTACTCTACCTTGGAGAAGCTCCACCGCAGCTCGAAGGCTTTCCACGCGATGATGAGCTGCGCCTCGTCGTCTTTGCAGAAGCCCGTCGGCTCCACGTCGTCCACATATTCTTCCAAATCCTACGAACGAGACAGACTCGAGATCATATTAGATTTATTATTAATTCTGCAATTAACTTTACATTCATTGAGCCCACACTAACCAACAATGAAATACTTTACAAATAATGTATAGTTTCACCGCTCATGACTTTTGAATCCTGTTTCAATAGAAACCCGAAGGATGTTCTGTCGTATCGAGTCAAACGTAAGCGTGACTTTCTAACCCAAGTAATTATTAACATTTGAAAGGTGATTGTTTCAGAACGATGAAAAACAACTGAGAGTGGCATGCTAGTGAATCTCTCAGTATTCAAATAAGGCGAGTGTGCCGAAGTGAAATTCGTGTTGTTCGTGTTTGATGATCGCAAAGGAACCGTCCAAGAGGTTACAAAGACTGTACTTCCTGAGAGGAGTTGGTAAAAGCAAGTTGCTTTGCCTAAATCCCACCACAATAACACTTCGCTGCACGCATCACATTTGATTGTTTTACCGAAAAAGGCATAACCTTGGTGTAACGGTTTGCGTATCGGATTGTTATACCCATGTTCGCGGTTTGAAACCTGATCGAAGCCATGGATTTTTAAGGGCGAGAAACTTTTACTTCCATTCTTGCCATATCCGCCCCATTCCGCACGTCCTTTGCCCGTCACGGCTCTGTCGGTTTTGCATCGTCCGTCCCGCTCCTCCCTCCCCTCCCCGCCCAGCTCGTCCACATTAGATACATTATGGGTCTCATAATTAAGCTGCATTATCACATCAGTTTGGTAGTAGAGATCAATGTGACATGATACGATCCTAAGACGGGCGATGGTCTACTTCTGGGTCAAACATCAATAATGTCGATTGAGCCATCTAGGGAGTGTTCGGTATCAAATATCTTTACTTTCTTTTTTATATAATGATTGTAATGATTTTTCGTACTGTTCGTTATTGTTCGTGCTGTAACGTTTTGTTCATGCCGCAAAGAAAGTTTATGACAAGTTCAGAAACGTAGAGTATTATGGAATACCATTTCCATTTGAGATTCTACCTGAACCAGGTATTGTTAAAACTCAAGTCCAAATACAATTACAACTTTAGCTACTTATGATTAATTATTTGTAGCTTCAAATCAATTTATGGAATTTCATCACATGCCATCAGTTACCCGACAATGCCATATATTCTTAAGTTCTTCTGCATGTCAAGCAAAGTATTCTGGTAATTAATCAGACGTAAATAATAGTGTCATAAGCAGCAATCTGAAATATTTTTTGTCGGCTGCTAACATGACATGAATCCTCTAGGGACAAATACCACGACGCAGGTAAATTATACCTGCATTATTTACTTTTAGAGATTTTCTCGATAAAATCACTTTATGCATCGCAGCCCTTGAGACTTATTGCAACGCCATATGATATACTTTCTGTTTAAGTCCGAAATATGTCTAAATAGCGAATTAGCCGGTTAGTTCGTGAATTATTTAGTTGAAAATTTTGCGTTGCACAGGCTCAAGTTGTTTGATAAAACTCGCAAAGTCCAAAGTCCGGAGCCTCGTGCCCCAACTCAGAAATGCTTGGCGAAGCGTCAACTGAGGCGTGTGGTGAAGTTATGTTAGATCAGGTAAGGCGACGCGTTATTGTATAGATATGCGACTGGCACAATGAAACTGGAAAGAGCAGACCTATTACCCCAGTCTTATAAATTTGGCCCAACAGTCTGTTCTAAAACGATTCTGCTATTACTCATCCCTGTAACGTACTTCATCTACCCTAGCCACTTTCTGTTGACTAATGTAGTATGTGCGAGGACGCAGTGGCTTCTTCGGACTTTATCCATTCATTTCGGATAATGTAAACATTAATTTATTAAGTAATATGTAAATATTGTAATGTTCCTTTGATTGTTTGTGTTGTGTATGTGTAGTAACTACTTAGAAAACGCTACCATCGGAAATATTCCATGTACTCCTAAGTAGCAAAATAAATATTATATAATATTTTATTAACAGGCTAACTCGCTAATTTAACTACATTTCGACAAAATCAGTATCATAGACGTGAGGTTAAACCCATCAACCCTGAATCTTCAGCGGAGAGGTGCAGTGCGGTCTGTTCATACTCACCCGCCGTTCCTTGGACTTCATCTCGTAGAAGATGCCGACGACGGCGTCCATCTCCATGAGGATGCAGGTCTCTCCGCCTCGGTTCGTCAGCCGGTACTGGGGCAGGCGGCCGGGATTGGCTGCGGGCAGGGCGGGAAGGTGAGAGCGCCGGCCGCGGAAGGCACCCTCCGCCCGGAAGGGGGGGAGGGGGTGCCCTGGCTCACGTCATTTCGTCCGACGCACTAACGCAGCGCAGATGGCGCGCATGCGTACAAGACCCGTGCCGTACAGCGCGCGCGCCTATTCTGCGATTAAAATAAGTTTTGTCTTCTCTTTGTAGTTTCCGCAAATCTTGTGAAGTTTATTCATTATAGGAAGATGGAAATAAGATTTAATTTTCCACAAATAAAAACGCGTTTCTTTATCATACAGCATCGAGCATATTTAAACGGAGTTTTCCATCTGTATCCTTTACTAGCAAGGGCATGTGGCGTTGTTCATTTGCAACATATCACAAATTAAGTGAATATGTTATCTAAATCTTAGTTTTATTGGATTTAGTAATGAAGAAACATTTTGTTTTGCATTAACAAAAAAATTATTTTGTTTGTGGAAGATTGCAATCTCTTTTACCTTCCCAATGAAGTATGGAATTTACTTGAGAGCAAACCTTCTAATAGCAGGGCTCAAACACTTGAATACATGCTTGTCTGAGCGCTGTGATAGATGGTGTCCCCTCAAACGTCAATCGTTAACTTATTTTAATCGGGCAATGGCACGCGATGTTCAATACTTAAGATGCAGCAATCTGCACTCTGGGTGTGAACGGCCGAGAACGTTCTTATGCGACACGCACTATGCAGCACGCTGTACAAGAAAACATCGCAATTGTCACGCACAAACGCAGACGCAAAAGACATTTCACACAGTGACTTGCAGGCACGCGCGTTCAGCGATTCCACACAGCGTGTCCAAGCGGAAGAAGCGAAGAACGCACCGCGCGACACGAGAAAGCCTGCACACAGGCGCAAAACACGTGCGACACCGCGGGAGATTTCCTTCTTTTTTGCCATATCTTTGGCGCTTCCTTGGAATCCTCCTTCAGAGCTTACAGAACTTTACGCTTCAATACACGAGACGAATAATTAAAACGTTACGCTTCAATCAGTAATGCTACAAGTGACTATTGGGTCGTGAAGATCAGGTCGTGTCGTGATATTTCATGTTCAGTATGTTAACGATTGAACCGTGCAGGGTTCATGTTACGATATTTAAAATAAAATTGTTGCAAGTGGATTTTTTGTAAGCATAAACATCTCAACGTAAACTATGAAATATAAAAGCTGGTTGCTGGAAATTGTCAAGAAATGATATTCAAGAAATTACAAGCACAATGCAGTATAGTTTAAAGCCGAGCCAATGCAACACGCAATAAACTGAAGTAGGTTGAGAGATGTGCAACATAAACTACGTGGCACTAAACTCAATAAAGAAGCTCAATAAAAGTTAAAAATTAAAAGCGTTTATTAAACTTAAGAAATGTGTAAATGAATAATACCCAGCCATAGGTCATGACTCCAAGAATTTATAAATATGTATATGCAGGAGCAAACAATAATGCCATCTTGTGCAACAAAATCACATAATGTGCTTTTCATTGTGTGTGCTTTCAAATTAATTACTTTAGCTAGTAAATTTATATGGAAATTGAACAAAGCAGTGAATACGTATACGAAATATTTTAGGAAAAAGCGAAATCTTCCAGCCATCTACTTTTGAAGACTCAGGAATTTCATATAATCATCTCCAGACATTTTTAATATAAAGCGTCCTATAAAAATATTCTGTATGTTGCGTTTCTGATTTTCAAAGGTACTTCCTGATGTATACATGTTGTAAGTGCAACTACAACAATACTTATAAATTAAAATCTCTAAAAGCATGGTTAGCTAAAAATTAATACATTAATATCCATTTGAAGAACAAAGATAATTTAATTCTGGCATAAAATTCGCTTCTGTTGTCGAACAAAAATTAAATTCAAAACTATTGAAAAATTCAAAAAAATTCAAATGTGTCAAACTAAATGCTCACATAGATTTTTCCACTTGTTACGAGTATGTCTCCCTACAGGGGTAACGACCACAGGAGGCTGGGGAGGTGGCACAAATACTTGTGAGCTAGCCCTCTGCACGGTGCTCTGTGAGGTTCCAGTCTACGGAGGTCGTGAGGGGCCCGACCGGAGGCGGCTGGCTACGCGTGGGGGAGCTCGCGCGGTGCGGCTAGGGCGGTGTCGAGCGGGCGGTGGACCGCAGCGGCGCGGCGGGGCGCGCTCTGCCCCGTTGGACTTGCGCCTGACGCGGGGCACACTGGACGGAAATGACCCCAAGGCGAGCAAGCAAGGGGAGTTGAAGGCGCGCGCGCGCGCGCGCGAGAGAGAGAGAGAGAGAGAGAGAGAGAGAGAGAGAGAGAGAGAGAGAGAGAGAGAGAGAGAGGGGGGGAGGGAGGAAGTGACAGACATAGATTGGCTGGGACAGATAGAATGGCTGAGACAGAGAGATAGAATGGCTGAGACAGGGAGATAGAATGGCTGAGACAGGGAGATAGAATGGCTGAGACAGGGAGATAGAATGGCTGAGACGGAGACCCGTCTCTACCAAAAACATATTAGTTCATTTAAGAAAGCTTTGTTTTTATATTGAGACTGGATAAATCGTGCACCGCAAAACGATGTAAGTCTTGTCACTCTTTCATTTTACGAGTGGAGAAAACATTTCTTTGACTTTTATTCAGACACCACTCTCCATGTTAATAAGCAGTATCTTGAAAAATGTAGACAAATATGAGATATGTTGTGCAACGTTTTTTTTTTAAATAACACAATTTGACACGATTTATTGATTGAGGTTACAGCTTGTAATATCAAAAAAATATTGTATGAAGATTTTGAAGGTCATTTGATCCAATGTGCTTTTTAGCTCAGCGCCGAACTTCCTTCCTATCCAGTGACCACAAGATATTCCGAGACGAATTGGTGGAGAACTGTCAGTCGCCGGCAAACAATGCTCAGAGCGCATTTATGAATGCTTCTGAATGGGGAGAATTGTGACATTTCTGATGAGCTTGGAGTGTATGTTTTATTTCCAGAAATTACAATATTACAAATCTTCTTAAAAGTTTGTTTCAGAACGATCGTACATTTTAGATGAAATTCAGTACAGCGCTAATTATTCACTGCCGGAAATTTTGGATCCTGATGAAGTATTTGCTTTCGTCTTTCAGTAAATACATTTTCTATGAAACGTATATGCAGGAAAACACAATACGTCGGTCGCCCGTGGATCCTCAAAAAAATTGCCCGACATAGAATAATTTAAAAATAGAAGGTTCCTCATCAATATTTAAAATATATATTTCGGGAGTTGTCTAATGTTTAGGCATAGAAATGACTATTGGTAGTTTACCAATAGTATGTTTTTTGGGCATATCAGTATCGTGAAATGTGTTTTCATATGTTGCAATATATGTCAAAATGCCTATTTAATTAATAATCTAAAAACCGATACATTTAATTAAATAGGGTGTGTTCAATAAATTCCTTTCAACCACAATACGCCTTTCTCTACATTAATAATTTCCAATGCGCACAGGAATTGAGAAAAAACTATGCAGCTTGCAGCATTTTGAGAGGTGAAAATGATTTTTTTGACCTTGGAACTCGGGTAAAGTGCAAAACATCTATATTACTGATTTCCCTCGTGCGTAGAAATAGGCAGAAAACTATGCAGTCTGCGAGCATGTGAGATGTGTTTGTTGTATCGCTAGATACCCTTGAACTTGTAATTCTAAAGAAGACCTACTCGTCAACAAGAGCATCACTCGTTTCTACTTCTTCTTGTTGTCTAACTGAAGTTTACAATTTGGGCCGGAGGCAAGAACCAAGAAGGATTTCAACTCTGTGAATCGTACTGACCTAGTAATCCTAGCGTATCCGTCATCAAGAACATCCCTTACTTCTACTCCACCTCGGCGTCATGACTGTGGTTCATTGAGTGGGTGACGACAAGCAACTGGGGGATCCTTTGTACTAATCCTACTGAAATCGTAATCCTAGCTTCACCGTCATCAAAAGCATCATTTATATTCCACATCGGCGTCAGACTAAAACCCAATGATTAGGGGGAAGGGCGAAGAGAAGAGCAACGAGTTCTTGTGAACAAATCCTTCTGAGCTCGTAATCCTAGCTTCTCCATCATTTAGAGCATCATTTATACTCCATATTGACGTCAGACTGAAACCAAAGATTAGGGGGAAGGGCGAAGAGAAGAGCAACGAGGAGTTCTTGTGAACAAATCGTTCTGAACTCGTAATCGTAGCTTCTCCATCATTTAGAGCATCACTTGTTTCCACTTCGTCTCGGCGTCTGACTTGCGGTCCACTGGACAGGGGAGAGGGCGTGCGTGCGTCGAGTGCAAGGACCCAAGGGGCGACAGCTCGCGCGCGCGTGTCGGCGGCTGCGGGGGCGGCGACGGCGGGCCGCGGGAAGCGACGGCGAGGCGTGGCGAGGCTTTGCGAGGCGTTGCGAGGCGTTGGCAGGCGGAGAGGCAGAGGAGCCGCAGGGGACGCGAGAGTACTTACGAGTTGGCTCGATGCTGGGAGTCACTGGTTCGGTGCTCGGTTCTTGCGGGCGGAAAAGAGAAACGTTAGGTTCAGAGTGCGAATCTGCGGCGGCGGCGGCGGCTGCATTGTGCTACGAGGCTCAGTGAGCTCGGCAGAATTGTTTTTCCTCGCCGTGACATTGACGACAGAGTAATCAACATAGAATATGAATTCTAAGTCGAGGAAGGCCATTTTGAACAATGATCTAGAAATTGTGTACTTATTCGCCCGGATCATAATGCCTTTTAATACATTAACAAGTGTGGACTTACCAGATGCATTCTCAGAATATACATTTTTAATGGTATAAATTAAACTTGTGTTCGAAGATTTGTGTGTCGAGGGTTTTCTTCACTTAATGAAAAACGCATGTCACTCTTTGAGTAGCATACTTAATTTTATCCCTGATCACTATGTAAATGAAAATGCCAAAAAAACAACCAAAATGTATCTAAATGTTGTATGTGATTCACGACATATT